GCATTTTGGGGAGCACTGCCCCCCCCAATTAAATCATCAGAGGTTTTCCCTGTACTGCAGGCTGCCTTCCCCCAGCCCCTTTTATTATTATTATTATTATTTGTTAATCCTCACCCAAGGATATTTTCTCCATTGATTTTTAGAGAAAATGGAGGGGAGGTGGAGTACAGGGAGAAAGAGAGAGAGGAATATCAATGTGAGAGAGGCAGATTGATTGGTTGCCTCCCAAATGTGTCCTGACTGGGGCCGAGGATTGAACCTGCAACCCGAATATGTGCCCTTGACGAGGAAGTGAACCCACAGCCCTTCAGTGTGTGGGCTGATGCTCGAACCACTTAGCAATACCAGCCAGGGCCTTTAAATGGCCTGCCAAGCTTGAACAATCACCCTTATTTTCTTTTGTAGGAGGGAAAATAAGTTTTGAACCTTCTGATTAGGGACATTCTCTCTTCAGCTTTAAAGGAAGAATTAGGAAAGAGGAAACTCAGTAGTAACATCAGTGATGCCACAGAGTGTTTTCTTCTCTGTGCCTTTAAGGGAAATTTTGTTTCCCTAAAAGTGGGAGGAGGACTGGGGAGAAGCTGGTATTTGTTGAAACCAAATGCCTATTACAACATTTATGTTTGTTCTCACGGAATTAAATGTCAACTATGTACCAGGAGTTTGACATTATTCCACTTAATTCTTTTTTCCCCCACAATATTCCCAGCTGTTTTATTTAGAAAACCCCAAACATAGAAATAACTGAAACCATAGACAGCTCAATAGTTAAAGTGGTCTCCATAGAATACAATATTTCCTAGAAATAAAAAATTAACTATTTACATAAACATTAGTGTTGAATCTCAAAATATCTGTGTAGCATGAAGGAAGCCAGTGTTTCCTAAAGAGAATTCACCTTATAGTGCCAATAAAATTATGAAAAATATGAACTATTCTATTGTAAAGGAAGGTGAATCAATGCCTGCATGGAGGACTGGGGAGGCAGAAAGCTGACAAAAGGACTGGAAGTAAATACAGGATGTGGCAACAGTAGGTTTAGAGTTGTTGGTATTGTCCACTTAATTCTTGAAACAACATTTTGTTGTAGGTAATATAACTTTACAGGTAAAGGAAATAGACTTAGTGAAGTTAACTTAACTTCCCCATACTTATATAATTAGTATTCATTGGTGTTGGAATTTGAACCAGGACTGTCTGATCCCTTTGCTTATTATCTAAGAGAAAACTGAAGTTTAGAGAGATTAATTTACCAAAAAATGCATTGGTAATGGGAGAACTAAAATTCAAATCTAGGTTTCTAGTCTGTCCTTTCATTTTGCTTCTCTATAATCTGTTTGGTCCCTTGAAAAGAAAGCTTCTGTGCAAATACTGCAAAATTCAGACAAACATATGCCTTTATTGTATATGGGAAAATATATCATTTTTAGACAGTGTGTATTGCACTTGGTTTTATATCTACAACAGATGGCCATAAAATTTTACTCTAGTCTTCCAGCATCTGGCATAAAACCTGCCATATAAAGACAGCCTTTGAGAAGATTGAAGGAATTAGCATGTAAGACAGTGAGCTGATGACTGTTTTGTTTTTGAAGGGGAAGAAATGTTGTAAACATATATGAATAAATATTTAAAGAATTAACATACTCAGTTTTTAATAAAATGCAACAAATTTGCTTTCAGTTTTAAGCATTTAGCAAACTTTGTTCTTTGAGATCAAGTTTGTGTGAAGATAATTGATTAAAACTTCTCTCTAGGGTACCATGTCAAGACTGAAGATCAGGACTTGAGGCGTTCCTCTTGGATTAAACAATTTGATACAACTTCCAGATTTAATCTTCAGGTATATTCAAGCTTTGAAACATTAAAAGGAGATTTAGAATTGTCGTTAACTCTCTTTTTGCTTTCCTTCCTTCCTTCTTTTTTTTTTTTAACTGCAGTTAGTTATCAACCATTAGATCTGGGAAGGTAAAAAATTACAATTAAAAGCACATTTGAACAACTATCCATTTTTAGAGATTCTGATATAATGACTAATGCAAAGCTCATGGATATACCGTGACCTGGAAAAGAATAGCTTATTCCAGGAAGTAGTTAAAAAATACTGGCTGCCAGTACCTTTTGGTGTGTCTAGTTAGAATGAAACATGAAAAGAAAGGAAAGTACTAGAGGATCTCTATTTGATCTCTGAAATTGTTTCTTGTACATTTTTAATTTATTTTTTTAAAAATTGTATTTATTATTTATTTATTTACCTACTTACGTTAATCCTCGCAGAGGATATTTTTCCATTGATTTTTAGGGAGAGTAGAAAAGAGAGGGAAAGACAGAGAGAAACATCTATGTGAGGGAAACACATTGATTGGTTGCCTCCTCCACGATCCCCGACCAGGGCCCGGACTGGGGAGGAGCTTGCAACCAAGGTATATGCCCTTGACTGGAATCCAACCTGGGACCCTTTAGTCCACAAGCTGACGCTCTATCCCAACCATGTCAAACTTGCGGCCTGTGGGCCATAAGTTTGACATGCTTGCTATCCACTGGGCCAAATCGGCTAGGGCTTGAACATTTTTAGATGCTTAATTTCTTTGAGAATTTGATGAGAGTTATAGATTCTCTTTCCAGAAAATGATCATCGTAAATGCTGACTTTTGCTTACATATTCTTATGATTTAGACACCAGACCACTCATTGACTCCAAATTAAGAACCCTTGCTCTGAGAGAGTTCACTTTATATATTTGGATCCCAGCATATTAATACTCATACCAAGCAAAATGAACCCCTTATAGCTTTTTAAAATTTCCTATTTTTAAATAAAAATATTTTTATTGATTTTAGAGAGAGAGGAAGGGAGAAGGGGAGAGAAAGAAACATGAATGTGAGAGGGAAACACTGATTGGCTGCTTCCTGCATGCCTCCTACTGGGAATTTAGCCCGTAGAATCCAACCAGTGACCTTTAGATTCACGGGACGACACTCAATCAACTGAACCACACCAGCCAAGGCCCAAAATAGCTTTTTTTAAAAAAATATATTTTATTAATTTTTTACAGAGAGGAAGGGAGAGAGATAGAGAGTTAGAAACATCGATGAGAGAGAAACATCGATCAGCTGCCTCCTGCACATCTCCTACTGGGGATGTGCCCGCAACCCAGGTACATGCCCTTGACCGGAATCGAACCTGGGACCCTTCCGTCCGCAGGCCGACGCTCTATCCACTGAGCCAAACCAGTTTTGGCCAAAATAGCCTTTTGAAAAAGACAAAATTTTACCAATAGTGCTAAGCAAGGAAAGTAATATGGCTTTTTGCTGCAAATCTTAGAAAATGACAGCCAAAGAAAGAATCAAAATTTTCATGTAGCAGATTGGGGTCCCTAAACCTCCTAGACTCCAAGCATACTCGTGAGTAATAGAATTATGGGTATTTTTTATTTTCTTTGTTTGGCTTATCCATATTTTCTAAATACTCACCAACCACTTTTACAATAAGAAAAGAAACCAATATGCCAGGTTATTTTTCAAGGCAGTTTTGTCTGTACAAGTTCTTTTAATAGAATAGTATCCTCCAGACTCAAAGATCAGGTAAGAAATCCCTTCACTGTTGTAATTCACTTATTCAGTGTATGATTTTATAGTGCCTCACTATAGCTGGTCATGAAGTTTATAATTTCACTATAGGATTCAGTATTAAAAGTAAGCTATTATTTAAATCTAACTGTTGTTTTTATAGTTGTCTTTGAAAATAAAGAAGATAGATGATTAGCATGATCATTTTGGAGACAATCATTTCTTTTGTTTATAATTGAGAGATATTTTAGAGGCATGTCAAATCATAGTTGTCTCTTCACGCTCAACCATATTTGTAAAATAATTTAAAGCAAGTCTATGCTTAATGCTGTTTTTAAAACTTACTTAATCATTACAGAATTGGAGATTCTAAGAAAGTAAGAAAGTAAGGTTAAAAAAGAGAATCAGAGATCCATTTTATATCTCACACCCACATAATTAAAGCTAATTTTGTGAAACATCACATCTGCAGTGTGCTCTGTCTTTTCAAGTTTGTCTTTTTCTTTCTCTGTTTAATTTTGGTCATGGCTCTCCCCATTGATTTCAAGACCCGTCAATCAGTTGCAGTGTTTGTTTTTTCCTTACAGTTCACTCAGTAATCTTAAGAGACTGAAGGAAAAATGGTTACAGAAAAAACAGACCTGAGACTTCAGGATCTAGGTTTGTTTTGTTTTTTAGTAACCAACTTAAATACAGTAGAGATGAACCCTACGGAAGTTACGTTCTAAAAAAGATAGCATATAACACAGTGAGAGATATATGGGAACTGTGCCATGCTGAGGAGGCAGTAGGACCACTTCTCCCATCTTGGCTTCCTTTCACAGCACATGCTCACTGGTTCAGGATGGCTTGTTGAAATTACATTCATTCTCCCTCCCTCCCCTTTCCTCCTCCCTCCGTCCTCCCTCTCAGTCTCTGCCTATCTTTGTCTCTTTCTGTCTCCCTCTCCCTCTTCCCTTCCCCCACTCTCCCCCTCCCCCCACCCATATATAATGCTTGCTTCTTGGGTTAAGTTATGATGCAGCTTCAAGACTTGAATCCTTCAGAGCTTTTAGCTTTTGGAATGAATGGGCTATCATGAAGGGTAGTCTTTTGTGGCCACTACATGTTAAGAAAACCAAAGTTCAGTAGTCTATTTTTTCTCTCTGTTGGCTTGGTAATGTATAGAGAGGTTGAAAACTTCACTTCTTTTAAAGGAACCTTAATAATTCAGCCTTATTTTCATTCTTTAGGATCCAAGTAGAGGCCATAAATATATCAAAAAGGAAGGTTCATCAGAAATCAGTCAAAAAGTACACAGTAGGAATTCTGTGGACAGCAGTGGCTCCAGCCCTCAGAATGGAAAGTACATGCAGAATTCAAGCTTGGTTTCAGGGGCATGCCAGATAAGTAATGGCAGTGTAAGCCCAGAAAGGCCAGTTGGTGAAACTTCCTTTTCAGTGCCCCTTCACCCCACCAAGAGACCTGCATCAAACCCACCACCTATCAGCAACCAGGCAACAAAAGGTAACTTTTGCACATTTGTAGGTTATGTATATTTTTGACTGTGTAAGATGGTGAGAGTGGCAGTTCTGATAGAGGCAGTATCTGTAGTCAAGTTGCTCACAGCCTGGTGCACTGTGGATACCACAGTGATAACAGTTTGTACAGGTTACTGTGGGAATAGCAGGATACTGAGTCACCTCTGAGGATCAGGAGTGGCTTTTGGGCGGAAGAGGTAGATCCTGAAAAAGATGGTAAGGGGTTAGTTAGCCCTGCCGAGTTGGGGAAGTGACATGATAGCATTGAAGGAAAGGAGCTACTGTGTGTGACCCATGGTACAAAGGTGAGAAATAGCACGTCAGTCCATTTTGTTGCTGAACACAGTTTGTTGCAGAATATCGTAAGAGCTCATGCTGAAGAGATGGGTGGGGATCAGACTGTGTCAGGGCCACCCAAGTCCTGTGAAGGAGGTTGGCCTTTATCCCTCACGAGCGGAGACGGCAGGGATTAAACAGTAGAATTCCAGGAGTGTGACTTTGCCCATTCAGAACACCTGGAAGGCTTGCTCACCACAGAGCCCTCCCTTTAAATCTTCCAGGTCCTGGGTGCCAAGTATGATTTGCATCGTTACTTACACTGCTATTGCTGTTTTATAGGTAAACGTCCAAAAAAAGGAATGGCAACAGCCAAACAACGCCTTGGGAAGATCCTTAAGTTGAACAGAAATGGCCATGCACGTTTCTTTGTGTGACGGAGCTGCTGTTGGGATCACTCTTCCCTTTGGAGACCAGTCTCGGGGGTGTGGGAGCCTGGAGCTTCCGCCATGCATGTCCAGTAGAGAACACTGCCTGGAGAACAAAATGAACCTGATGCTGCATTTTCACTGTGCCACACCCACTCAGCAATAACCATTTTGGACCTGGTGGGGGAGAGGAAGAAGGAGGGTAGAACCTTAAAAGGAGACCTTGAACTGAAAAGGGTCTCTTGTCAGGGCTTGAATTTCATTTTGTTGTTGGTAGTGTCTTGATTTATTTTCAGTGGTAAAGAATTATCAATAATTTATTTAACAGATTTTTTTAAAAGTTAACAGCTTTTAAATTCTTTCTTTTTTAAAGCTATTTATTTGGAAGATTTCTGGAGAAATATCTCACTAATTTAGATTTAAGAATGTGAAGGTTTTTAAATTATTTTTGATAGTGTGTGTGTTACATGTGGGGAAGAGCCACAGTAACAGTAACTAGTCTGGACTCTTAAATTTGATATTCAGGTTAAAGTCTTAAACAGGGATTTGATGCATTAATTATTTTAAATTAAGATGTATATGGAAATCATTTTATTTTATATATTTCATGTTTTTTATAAGCTATTAGCTTCGCTTTTGCTAACATCCAAGGTGCATACTGTTATCCAGGTTGATGACCTTATATCCCACCTTCCCCCTCTGCACTTCCAGCTTTTGTGATGATACAAGACTCTTCTCTTTGCAGGGAAACACTTTCATAGCTGATGTGTTAGACCTACATATAAAAGACCCCAACATTTCTCATTTAGTTTGACATTGCAATTTTTTCCTAAATATAACAAAGGCTTCTTGCATTTTCATTTTTGCTGATGACCTGGGTTCCAAAGAGAACAGCTTTAATATCTTTTTCCTATTTGTGGAAAAAGTATTATAAGTTTGATTAAATTGTCATACTTCTAGTTTTTCAAATGCATTTGTAACTACAGAGGGCCTTCTTCATACTGCTGGTATTAGAGGGCAGGACCAACACCTGCCACAAAGGTTATATTTTATGACGCTTTTATTCTGTGTACCTAATTTGTTGGGAAATAAGATTTGACTTAGTTGTTCAACTCTTCATAATAAGCCGTAACATAATAGGACTATACTATATTAATTGTGTAGAAGCAAGCATGTTGGAGTAGACCTTTTGCAGGGATGTGTGTGTGTGTGTGTGTGTGTGTGTGTGTGTGTTTAGTTTTTATTTCTTAACCTTCTAAAGAATTATTTAAGACATGGATTTGAAGTAAAATGGGTGCTTCTTGTAGTTTCTTCCATCTATCCTAACTTAGCCAGTGCATATTGAGGTTAAGTATCTGATTGAGCTTTAAAGTAATCATATATCTCTTTTATGCACAATTTTTACTAAATGCCAGCTAATAATAGCTAATATTTCCCCCTACCCCTCTTGGCTTAAAAATAAGTAATTTCAAGGCTGGGGTGAGGTGGGGTTGAGATATTTCCAATGCTGACAGGAGAGCATTATATAAGTTCCTACAAAGAAAATATAGGCAAATAAGATCAAATTTATTTTTATGAAGAAGAAATATGGCCATATTATGGATATCCTTTTATTTACTGAGCCAAGGTAGCAGAACTTTCTCTTCTATATTAAGTATCATGTGCAGTGCTAAGAAAAAGAAATCGGTACCATCCTCCTCCATGGTTGCATTCAAATGTGTATTTTCAAAGAGAGAGATTTCTTACTCTGTCTTCATTCCAATATTTCATGGAATAAATATGAAGTAGCTTATGAATTAGCCTTTTTGACCCAAGTGACTGAATCAAAGTCTGGATCTTACCTGGTGTCAGGAAGGATTTTGTGGAAATACTAAATGCCTATAAGTGGCCTACTTAAATTCTTCACAATGCCAAAACTAGTTAAGAGATGGGCATGGTTAGTCATTTGATGGATGATTAGATTTGAAAAATGTAAAAATTTGGGTTTGACTGTGCCACCTTCCCACACAGTATATTACTGTGATGTTTTGGTTTTCTGTAGACATCATTTTAGTGTTTATAGAACATGTTTTTGTTTAAGAAATAAGAGCTATATATATATTTTTTCAGTTACATCATGATCTGGGTTCTTTTTTTATGTTCTTCTCACAGCTCTAAGTGTTTTTAATTACCTGAATTTTTTTCTTTAACTATAAAAATTAAAATAAAACAATTTCTTTTTATGAGTTAAAATTGTGGCCAGTATCCACCCTGTGTACTTAGGCCGGTAAATACTTATTTTAAGTAGACAGTATGTGGAACTTTTAAGTGAAGGTACTGTGGAATCATTTTTGGCAATTTTAGCCCGTTAACTGGCTAAGTTAAAAAAAAAACTTTCAGCAGGGTCGTAAATATAACCACTACTCAGAACACATGTATCTTCTTCTGAATTGGTGCAGATTCAGCCACTGGTCCAGGGACTCTCCTAGTCTTACAGAGTTACTGGCTCTGATGCATCCATCCCCTGTAGCTCGGAAATGACTGAACCTTGAGGTAACTGCAGCCAGTATATGGACTTAACTGTAACAGACAACCTTGTGTTTTTCCCTTGGTCTCATTATAAACAATACTACTGCACAGATACTATGACTTAGGAAGACAGCAGTGGTGGCATTTAGCTAGTTATAAGCAAATAGAAATATGTAAAGCAGAATTATGGTTAAATGTATGCATTTTTAATTATAGTAGTAGATAATTTTCCTGTATTGATTCAAGTAACTTCTGTTAACCTAGTATCCACTGTACTGTAATTCATAATGTCACATAATATAATGCTCTCCAGTATTGATTAATGTTGTAAACAGTACAAAGCTGGCATTTATAATAGTTTTGTATCCTAGAAATACATTGAACTTCATAAGCATCAGTTAATTTTTAAAGCATACAAAATTGAAAATTCTGACTGAAATCATCTTATAAACTCAGAAAACAAGGCCATCTTTATTACTACTTACTTAGCTTGAATACTGTTCTGTTTTTTAATAATCCCAATTATTGCCTTTTAAATGAACTCTACTGTATTTATTCTTATGAGATCAGCAGGTATTTATCAAACACCTACTATGTGCCCAGCACTACATAGTACTGTGGGGAAGTGTAAAGTTGAAATGTGGTCTCTGCCTTTGAAGGTATCTTCGTCAGGAAATAAGCAGTGTTATTTTTACTTCTAAGCAAACATAAAAAGAGAGAGCCCATTTATTTAAAAAAGCATTAACTTCATTTGTTTCAATTGAGATATACTATGCTATATAGAAGTGGAAGTAATTTTTAAAATTTAAAAAACATTTCAGAAATTAACAATTTAATGTTGGCAGTAGAGGGTCATGGTTTACTATGAAAGAGAGCAGACAACTTGGATTTTTGCCCAGGTTCTGCCATTTTTATGTCAGCTGTGTGACCTTGAGTACGTTGCTTATTCTTACTGCATCTTAGTTTTCTCGTTTGTTAGTTTGGATAAAAATGCAGTTAACAAATACATGGAAAAGTGTTTCTTAATCTATTAACACTTCATACTTGCAGTTAATTTATCATTATTTAAGTTGCCACTGATAATGAATGCACATTTTTATGCATTTTAAATTTAAACTGTTATTACTCATAAAATTTGTTTTATGTCAAATCTATGCCCAAAACATGCTACCTAAAAAACCTGAAGAGTCTCTAACAAGGTGCTGAATTAAAATTAAAATTAGTGCTTGAAGTGAAAGAAAAGTGAAATAGTTTATGGATAAGAGTGATACTGTTTATCCTCAAATAAGTAATGTTTATCCTCAAGTAATCATTAGGATGACTTAAGGAAAGATTCTTTCTGCTTGTTTCAAGAGATGCTTTCTATAGTAACTCCCCCAAGAGCTCCTGAATCACCGTGCCACCCGGTACACCACTGCCAGAAGTAACTATTGCAGTGTATCAGCATTTTACGATTTCACATGGAGATGAAGGCTTAATAATGTCAATCTGAAAATTTTTCAAAAATTCATTTTTTTTTCTCATTAAATATTAAGCAGTTGCTCCCTCCAAAAAGAAAAGCTAAAGATCACCAGTTGTTTCTGGATGCCCTAGACCTGTATCTAAAGCAATCTTGAGAAGGTTGAGCATCAGGTCATTAGGAAAAATGTGTTACCGGTAAATAAAGAAGACAAATGGAACCCAAATAGGGCAGTGATTTGCCTGGGCTCATAGTAGATTCTAGATCTAGACCTCTGGTACCTTGCTTCCTACCACAGCAATGCTGTGCAGCCTCTGCTTGTCCTGGGGGTGATGTTGATACGCTTGCTAGAAGCCAGATGGAAAGAAAGGAGAAGTAATATACTCACTACATTGCTGTTGGACTAAAGTAATTTTGATACTATAGCCTTACTAAAAACCCTGCCCTTATTTTTATTTGTTCTTCAGTGAAAATCATGACATAAAAGTCAAATCTTTTATATCCCTTACATTAAATTTTTAATAATTAAGGTCATTAAGAAGCAAATGCCTATTTCCAAAGCAATTAGCTTATCATATTTGACTGTGGTTTTACTCTTTTATACTATTTTTCTCCTCTTTAATGGGTAGGGAAAAGAATGCTTATTTATCTGCATTCTACCCCGTAGAGTCTCCCTCTCACCCATGGTGCCCTCTCTAGCGTCCTAAAGCTTTGTCTTAACAAGTGCAACATTAAATTTTTGTTAAAACCCTTTCAGAACTATATTCAGTGATTCTTCCAACAAGTTGATCTGTTCTGCACTATTTCACTAATAAACCCTGGCTACCACGTAGCCCTTGACCTCCAAGTAGCTTACCTATGCAAGACCTGTGACATTCTGAACTCACGTTTCCTTGTTTCAGAAAGCAGTCCTAAGTGGAACTTAATCATAACAATAAACCTTGCCTCCACTTACTTTTATTTTGGCCATTTCCTTTTTAAAATGCCAGCTATTTTCCCCCAAGGTATTTCACCAAAACAATGATCGTAAGTGCTGAAATATATAATATCTTGCAGGAATGAAATAACCAAGACATACTTTTATATTCCTGTGGTAGTTGGTTGGTAACAGTTACCATTATTAAGTGGAATATATAGTGAGGAATTAATTCCTTAATTCCTTGCCTAGAATCATTTCTTCCCTCAAAGATTCATACATAATCTTTTATTTTTACAAAGCATACATATAACTTCCACATTATAGTCAGGGACCTGAGGTGTCACTTGCTAAGTGAACCCCAGGTTATTTTATATTGCAAAAGAAACCTAAACCAAACTAAGGGCCTTACATTTATGGTTAGACTGAATCAAAAGCTATAACCTCAATTTTTCCCAAAATAGCTTCTGACTGCAAACGCGTCATGCAGTTGTTAGGTATGAAATAGCACTGATCAGGAAATGCATGTGCAACTTCGCAGACTGTATTTCCTTCCGAAAAGACTTTTCTACTTTTAATATAAATTAAGCCATAATAGTTACATGCTGTGGAAAGAGGGTGAAAGGTTCATTTGAAGAGATTATATAATATGAATTTTCACATTTACTGTGAAATGTCTAACTTTTCCAGTGCTTCAGCAGGTTTGTTTGTTTTTTTGAGGGGGTAGAGGGAGGTGATAGGGTGGGGTAGTATTGATTTTAGAGATTTCAAATCTGTGAAATTTGAAAAGGGGACAGTTGTTGGCTATGGTATTTATTAGTTTTGTAGTAATGTTTTGCTAGCCTGACTGACTTTCCTTAACTAATTTTTATGCCCATGGTCCAAGGAGACTGGTACCCTTTCTTGTTTGGGGTGTCCGCGGAGTAGTGTCTTGTCTGTTTGTATAGGCAGTCAGTGTGTGTATGCACATGTGTGTCCTTTGAATACAGAAGCACACTGTGTGACTACAGAGTGGGGTGTGGCTGGGAAACGGGATGCTGAAGCTTTAAAGAGCATTTTTTTTTTTTGACTCTTAACAGTATTTCCCATCTTTTGCCTGCAGGCAGGGAAAGTGTACAGTATTTATTTTGCTTCTGTTTTAAATTTGTAAGTCTTTAAATAGTTTAATTGGTTATTAGAGGGGAGGACAAGTGACTTGTTTAAAGTTGTATTTGGTATTCTTTTCAATTTCTGTATTTTAAAATATTGAAATCAAAATTGTATTACTTCTGTTTTGATTTTTTTAGTGCTGGGTGTATTTTTGGCTCATTTTGTTTGAAAGTATAAATGTTGAAAATTGTATAAAATGTGTCTTTGAAAGAAAAAAAATTGAATTCTATATCCAATTCTGGTTTTCTGTTCTGTTTTTCTGCTTATTGATTCATGGGAGAATTATTGGAGTATGTGAAAAACTGTATCAAACTTAGGCTTCTTAGTATTTCTGAAGATTCAAATGTGCAGAGTAATGTGTCATTTTATTAGATGTATTGCTGGGGAAGCAATTAGTGAAAGAGAGGAAAAATGACAAAAGGGTAATTAGTTGGCAAGATGAGGCTACGCTATGGCCATGGATGCTGGTGCTACTGGGGGACACTTAAAAGCATTTGTTGTCCCCAGCCTGGGCACCCCAAAATACTTCTTGAGCACCTGCAGTATACCAGGCATTGTCTAGCACTGGAGCTACAGGAGTAAGATCAAGCCCCAGGCCTGCAGGAGCCTGTGATAGATGCGAAAGGAGGGGAGATCGAGGGGTTGCTGTGACCCGGCTGCCTAAGGGGGTGGGAGTGGAAGTGTGAGTTCAGTGAGATCAGTCCATCGTGGACATAGTGCTTTTAAGGGTGTGAGAGCCCAGTCTGGGATGAGCTGAGCTTAACTTGGGCCCAGGAGAGGAGCCAGGGACCAAGGAGGAAGGAGCACCGGGGGCAGCACTTCAGGGCAGAAGAAGAGCCTGGGAGGGGCAGGAAATGGTAGGAGGATCTGCTCTGGAGGAGCCCGAATGCAGATTGATGGAAACCAAGGCACTGAAGGACCCACGGCCTCGGCTCTTCCTGTACTAATACCTGCAAGAGAGTAGGTGGTCCAGAGTGCACCCACTTAAAGCCACCTCAACAGCTGTTACAAGAGTGGTGCCCAAAGCACGTTCACACCTCCTCTGTCTCACTGGCCTGTTTATTGCAGCTGATTGAAAACAGTCTGAATAAATCTGTTCTTTTATACAAGTCCACATGCCATCTGTGAACCTGTGGAATGTTTGCCCTTCCTCTAGTTTGCATGTTAGCAAGTAATTACCAGGACCAACACTCCTTTGATCTTTAGCTGACCTTTGTGTTTCCACGAAGCAGTGAGACTGTGGAAAGTGGGGTGTTACCCACCCCTCATTTTAGAGTGGGAAGAATTGGGTGCTATGTTGCAGACAGGCTTTTGAATAGAAACCCTCATTGTCTTTATTTTCCATTTGAGTACTTGCAGTGCACAAGGCATATTTTCATTTCTTCCTCACAGCCCAGCGAGGTAGGTGCTATACTCCCCATCCTGCAGATGAAACTGAGGCCAGAGATAGTAACTGACATGTGCCACGTTCACACTGCTAAAAAGTAGAACTGAGATTTTAATCAAAAGCCTAACTCTAAAGGCCACATCATTTTTTATGAATTGTTTTTCTCTAATTATTTTTTAAATTTTATTTCCTTTGTTTTTCCTCATCACCTTTTATCCACGCCCCCATACACTCGTCCACCTCCACTGCCACCCCAATCACCACACTGTTGTCCATGTCTGTAAGTTCTTTTTTTTTTCTTTTTTACTCAATCTCCCCCAACATCCCTCTTTCCACCAGAGCTGTCTGCCTGCTCTCTCTGAGTCTAATTGTATTTTACTTTCAATTATTAAAAAGGAATAGATTGGTCTTTAGGAATGATTTGTATTCTAAAAGTTTTCTTATAGGCAACCATTTTGGACTGAAAATAATCTTTTTACAGAAGTTTTCTATCATTCAAAGTTTGAGTCCTTTTCCTAGGGGCTGGGTACAGATGAAAGCATGCTGTTTATCTTCTAGGATCCCACCTTCTAGTGAAGAATGAACTGTATACAAGGGACAGGTGATACTCTTGAATCCATGAACCTAACATGAATTCCCAAAGTCCCAGAGTTAGGCCGTGCGTACTGCACCCCTTCCACTGGACATGGCCCTGCAGGACGGCACAGCCGTCTACCACTGCCCTTCCCACACTGCAACCTCTCCGGGCATCATTTCCTGCCCCTCAGCTCTGGTAAAAGGGTCATCCCAGATACGGAAGGAGAAAGAAGTCCATATTTCTCTCTCTTTTTTTAATATATTTTATTGATATTTTACAGAGAGGAAGGGAGAGGGATAGAGAGTTAGAAACATCGATGAGAGAGAAACATCGATCAGCTGCCTCCTGCACACCTCCTACTGGGGATGTGCCGACAACCAAGGTACATGCCCTTGACCGGAATCGAACCTGGGACCCTTCAGTCTGCAGGCTGATGCTCTATCCACTGAGCCAAACCAGTTAGGGCTCTCTTTCTTTCTATATCTCTGTATATCTCCCCCAACTACTCAGGAGGTCACTTAGGGCACAGCCTTCAATAGTCTATAACAACCACAGCAGTGATTCTCCCAAAGTCTGACTTAAGAATAAAAGTTGAGAATAAAAAAGTCAATTACCATATTGGAGGTTTTGCCAATGGGAGGCAAAGCTGTGCTTACTCTCTTTGGTCTGGGGGCTAACTACTAGTGTTAGTTTGCTAGGCCTGCTATAACAAAGTACCACAGATTGCGTGGCTTAAACAACAGATTTGTTTTTTTATCCCTCTCGAGGTTAGAAGTTGGAGACTTAGGTGTTAGCAGGGTTGATTCTGTTTGGGGGGGGGCATAAAAGAAGGATCCATTCCAAGCCTCTCCTCAACTTACAGATGGCCATCATATCCGTGTCTCTCACATCATCTTCCCTCTCAGTACGTGTCGGTGTCTGTGTCCAAATTTACCCCTTTTGTAAAGACACCAGCCATACTGTATTCAGGCTCACCCTAATTACCTCCCTCCCCCCCTTTTTTTAGTTAATCCTTACCCGAGGATATTTTTTCCATTGATTTTTAGAGAGAGTGAAACGGAGGGGGGGCGTTGGGGGGGGTTGGGGGGTGACAGAAAGAGAGAAACATCAATGTGAGAGACACATAGATTGGTTGCCTCCCGAATTTGCCCAGACTTGAGCCAGGAATCGAACCAGAGACCCTTCCATGTTTGTGCTGACGTTCTGACCACCTGACAACACTGGCCAAGGCATAAACTCATTTTAATTGAATTATCTCTTAAAAGACCCTATACCCCAAAATGTTTATATTCTGAGCTATAGGTTAGGACTTCCAACATATGAACTTTGAGGGGAGACTCAATTCAATCCATAACACTACTGGATCAACTCATACATATACAAATAATAACTCTCAGTGAGTCAAATTTATAAATCCATGTTTTGTTTTGTTTTTAAATCCTTACCCGAGGAGTGAGGATATTTTTTCCATTGATTTTTTTAGAGAGAGTGGAAGAAAGGGGGGAGGGGGAAAAAGAGAGAGGAGGGAGACATTGATGTGTGAGAGAGAGATCAATTGGTTGCCTCCTGTACACACCCCAAATGAGGGCAAGAACCGGACCTGCAACCAAGGTATGTGCCAGGAATCTGTGACCCTCTGGTACATAGGCCGACACTCTAACCACTAAGCCATGCTGGCCAGGGCAAGTTTATAAATCCATGTTTAAAAATAAATCCTTGCTGATGGGCTAGTCTGCCTGTTGCAGGGGGTCACCTGCCTAAGGGCTATGCTATGGGTGCATCCCAGATCAATAAAAGCTTGGTGAGGCCTGAGAAGGGGGGGGGGGGAGTCCTTCCCCTTGAGTTGGACTTACTCGCCTGGTCCCCCAATATCCCAAATTATCTCTTGTCTTTTCATATTCATTTGTGTGTGGCTCTGCTTCCAGTTCCTGAACCCTGACCCACGCAGGATGTGGGAAGGAAACACACAACAAAAAGTACTTTATTTAAAGTAATGTCCATCGCTAGCTACACATTTCCCCCTTCTTTCAGGTAATTTGTGGAACTGTCCCAATAGAATTTTTCTTGTTTTGAGGCAAACCAGAGACCCAATTTTCCACTTCTTCATACGTTTTGAAGTGCTGCTCAGAAAGTGCGTGTGCCATTGATCAGAACAAGTGGTAATCTGAAGGAGAAAGGTCTGGTGAATACGGTGGGTGGGTTAGTACTTCCCTTTTAACACTTCTTTAACTGGTTTTGAAGTATGTGATGATGCGTTATCATGAAGCAAAAATACTTTGCCGATTCTTCTGGCCCATTCCGGTCGTTTTACGATCAAAGTGTGGTTCAAATTGATTGTTTGTTGTCGGTAACGATCAGTATTAATGGTTTCACTTGGTTTTAGAAGCTCATAATACACCACACTTTCTAGAGCCCAACAAACGCAAAGCATTGTCTTCTTTCCAAAGCGATTTGGCCTTGCAGTCAATGTTGATGGTTGACCTGGATCAACCCATGATTTTGTGCGTTTGGGATTCTCAAATCCACTTTTCATCGCCAGTCACAATTCAATGCAAAAAAGACTTTCTTTTGTGCCGTTGAAGCAACATTTTACTGATGACTTTTTGGTTTTCCATTTGTCTTTCGTTCAGTTGATGTGTCACCCATTTTCCTTCCTTTAAATCTTTCCCATTGCTTGTAAATGATCAGAAATTGTTTGCTGAGTTGTTCTGCAAGTTGTTTTTGCATTTGACACGAATCTTCATCCAATAATGCTTGGAACTGTTGGTCCTCAAACTTTTTCGTTTGACCTGGATGTTCTTTGTCATTTACATAGATATTATCACTTTTAAAGTGTTTAAACCAGCGTCACAAGTATCTTGAGATGGAGCACGTTCACCATAAGCTTCCTGGAAGTATACGATAACTTTTTCTTTAAAATAAAGTAATGAATTAAAACTTCCTGCAAATGCTTTTTGTTGGCACGCAATTCAACATTTTTTTTAACATATTTTATTGATGAGAGGGAAACATCGATCAGCTGCCTCCTGCACACTCCCCACTGGAGATGTGCCCGCAATCAAGGTACTTGCCCTTGACCGGAATCTAACCCGGTACCTTTCAGTCCACAGGCCGACGCTCTATCCACTGAGCCAAACCGGTTACGGTGAGATTTGACATTTTTAAGCGTAAAAATATCTATGATGTTAAAACCTTCAGCAAATTTGACATATGAAATTTTGAAGCTTGCTGTCATACAACAAAATAGCATACATATCAAATAGCATATATAT